AGAGAGAGAGAGAGAGAGAGAGAGAGAGAGAGAGAGAGAGAGAGAGGCATGGAGATGGAGACAGAGACAAATGTGTGAGGGGGGAAAAGAGGGAGGGGGGAGGGGAGGAAGGAGAGAGATAAAGAGAGGCACCTAGCAAATGCAGAGAAACCAGTCTACTTGTAAACTTGGCAGTTGTCTAAGGGAACAAAAAAACATAACCTGAGGATCTATACAACAGTCATTCTTCAAATGACCATGGAACCCAGCGTGTTGCAGAAGATCCACAGCCTACTGTGCTTGATAATGCCTTAGGCCCTGGCAGAAAGAAACATAAATTCTTAACTAGCAACCCAACTTAGCTCACCATTTTAATAATTCCCACATGATAAAGATCCAAACAATGCTCATTTATAAGAGCTTCTTAAGCAAGAACCACGGGAAGCAAGAGATAAAATCGTCCATAAAGATGTTCATCATAAACTTGCCATGCATTTGCAACAGGAAATGATCTCACCCATCCAGTATCTACCACAGCACACTGATTCAGTCCCCCCATAGATTACTTAAAATTCTTGACATATAAACTGCAATTGGCTTAGCCACATGTATAGATAGCAGAAACAAACTAGTTAACAAATGTATATAGAATGATTAGATCAGTAGTTAGACTGCCTGACTATCTCAGCTCCAAATTTAACTAGATTTACATCCTTAGAGAACTTTCCTGACCACCATCCAACTCATCTTCTTTCTTCAGTAAATGGAGATAATGACTAACCTAGTCAGCCTAAGGATTCTAAGTTTCTATGTGGAGAAGTGAGAGGAATCTTTCCAATATAGCATTCATTCAATAGCATTATTAATTTTTTCCCTTGAACTTGATAGGGTCTATTATCTGTGAGCTGGAGTTAGGGACATTTGACACAAACATGTCTAGACATATTTCTTTAGTGCCATCTAGAAGCAAGTAGAATAATGGATGGCAGTAACCGGCATTTCTAATACAGATATGAAATAGAAATCAAACAATGAACCAGGCTGGGTAAAACTTTATTGTTTAAATTCATTTATATATGAAAAAATTGAGTGCTAGAGTTGTTAGCCAAAGAGGCAAATTTTGTAAAATTTATTGACAATTATAATATGTGTAAAACTTACAAATGGAAGTTTTCCTATTTCAGCGTATCATGTATTTATTCATAATTATCGACAGCATTTTATATGTCAGCCCAACAGAAATGGGCAAGTATGTGTAGATTTGTTACCAACACACACACACACACACACACACACACACACACACACACACACACACACACACACTAATGTATATGTTACTAATACACATATATACATGTATACTAACATAGATATATAAACATATGTCCTTGTGTGTGTGCACTAGTAAGAATAATTAGACTGTAAAATGAAAATCATGGGTATTTTAGAGAAATGAGTATTTGTGGTACCAAAATTCTAAGAAAATTTTTAACTATTTCAAAGAATAATTTTTTGTTCATCCTTTAAGCATCTGAGGCTTTGTGTTTGTTTTGTGTGAGGGAAGAACATGTAATTTAGAAGTGAAGATGTAGACTGAGACTAAATTGCCACAAATGAGTACAGTCAGTCATGTTCTGAGTATTCTCTGGGCTTAGGTAACTCAAAAATGAGTAATAAAGCAGTCAGGACTTTCGGTGGGCTCTTCCTTCTCCATGGTCACCGTGCACTCATACATTCGTCTTACTAATCTTAGCTGGACCACTCTGTGGTTATCAATTTACAGATGATTACTACTGAGGTTTGGGAACTTTGGTGACTGTTTGGCCATTGAACAACAGAGGCAGGGTTGGTCCAGACTTGGACACGGGAGTCCTGCTCCTTGCTGGGGAGTCTCACTGTGGAGCAAGCGTCCAGTTCTCATCATAAATGAGCATCCTACTGTCTCTGTAGGAGAGCACACCCCTGAGGCCTGGCTGACTCAACTCTGCTCACTTTTCCTTTGCTTGCCTTTGCTTCTCAACTGCCAAGGTTATAACTCATGGCAACTTGGTCAGATTAAAGGAAAAGTCTAGTATGATGCAGACAAATGCTCCTTAGATTTTTAAATCCTTTGCCAGTGAATAAAATGGATTCAAGCTTTCATCTGAATGCTTAGCATGTAACAGTCCACACCCACCAAGAGACTATTCTTTAACGTTCATAAATATTTATAAATACGACTTAATATCATTTTTTCTACTTCCTAGAACATGGGTGAGAATTGTTAGAAGTACTCGACCTTTAAGTGTGGAGTGTTTAAATTAATTCATGTTATTACTTCAGTTTCACAGCTGACTTGTCTTGTAAATAAAACTTTTCCCTCATTAGAAATGAGGCCAATCCTGCAGCTTCCCCACAGGCCCCGTCTCTTTCACACCATGCTATGCTCTCACACATTGACCTGGACCCCAGGGGGAGTCTGTGCAAACTAGTGAATTAAACCAGAAATAATTTCCTGTGGCATTGTGTCACAACCTCAGCGATGAAAAAGAAATCTATTCAGTCCTTTGCACTTAATTAGAAAAAAAAATTAAATGAAATCTTCTAGAAATATTTAAAGTTTAATAGACCAGTATTCAGAATTTCTAAACGGTACCAATTTCATGTCTACCTCTTTGTTAAGTGGTGTTATGGAACTCTCTCTCTCTCTCTCTCTCTCTCTCTCTCTCTCTCTCTCTCTCTCTCTCTCTCCCCCTTCTTCTCTCCCTTCCTCTCTTCCTCTCTCTCGATTGTATTTTGTGATGTTTGTGATTAATTCTGCTAGAAACTTCAGCCTCAATAATTTACTTTTAGCATTTGGATAATGACATGCTTTTTGCCCACAGGTATGCCAAGGAAGTAAGATTAAACGGGACACCTTTCTTGTGGTACATACATCATTTCTACTCACTCCCCATTCTCTTTGATGTGCGTGACGCCTCCTCTTCGCCCTTATCTCCTTCCTGGAGACCCCTTTTCCCTCTGTTACTTGGACGTTTGCCTATACCTTTTCTCGTGTTTCTTTTGTAGCAATACATCTTTCTTCACTGTCAGGTGAGTCCTGCTAAGCTGGAAAGGTTTCTGGGCTTCTGTTTTTGCTCTACAGACTTTGGTAGTGGCCCTCTTGAGTGACCACTGGCGCATGGGCTCTTCTCGATACCATGGCTAGAACGACAGACTCAATAATCAGCATGTAACCAGTGTTCAATGAAGAAAATGCCAGGGTCGTTCTTAACACTTACCACACTACACTTACACTAAATGCTTGGCCTCGATGCATTCTTAATTTTAACATCTTTTCTTTCACTGTTGCTGTCTGAGCTGTTGAGAACTTTCACATCGTCTTTCTGAATTACCCCACTGCCCATCTATTTTCTCATTATTATTATTTTTTGATTCTCCATTGATACTGAACAAATTTTACAAGAAATTTCATCAACTCTTATCCTTGTACCTGGTGATCATCTACAGTGACCACGTGGATAGGGCTGTTGCAATCCTTAACTTTGTTTTTATCACATGCTGTCAGATACCATTATAGGCTTTTTCTCTCACTTCACACCCCTTCTGATCGTGGCGAAAGCCATCACATGCTGCCCGACCCTTCAATCATTAAATCTGCATATTTTGATCTTACATCAGAAATGACTTCTCCAAACTTCTACTCAACTTTTCTTCCATGACCCTGCCAATTCTTAACTTCCTCTACAAAGTCATTGCAAGGTCCCCTAGGGAATATTGGTTGCTTTCAAGCAGACTTCCTCTAAGCCTTAGCATATTTGACTCTAATTATATGCTTCTATATCTGCCTCTGCTATTATGTAATGATAGAAAACAAATAACACCCCTTTCCTATGTTTCCACCA